GCGGGGATGGGGGGCGGGGCTGCTCCCGCCTGCCGAGAAGGGCCCGGGGGCACCGGCCAGGCCGCGGAGATCCGCCTTCTGCGCTGCGAAGGCCCTGAGGGAGCTGGCGCGGTGCCCCCCGCTGTAGTGCCTCGCCCTGCCCTGCTCTGCTCTCGTCCTCGGCGCCCCGAGGTGCTCGGCTGCTCCCCAGCTCCTGCCAGCCGGCCCCGGGGCTGACATCCGCGCCCCAGCCCTGCTCCGACCCCCGGGCCTTTGCTGCTGCCTGTCTCCGGGGACCACTCTGCTGCCCTCTGCCCACGTGGAGACTGTTACCAGTTGCATGTTCCTGCTCCTGGCGTGGTGGACATGAGTACTCCTTTGGTTTCCTTCTGTGGAGGGAACTTCTTTTTATTGTCATAATTTAGTCTAGGTCTATTTTTCTTTTCGCTTAAAAACTGCTTCGCTTGCCTTTCTGAAGAGCGCTAGTGTGAGTAACCATTGATCCAAGTCCTAAAATCGTATCTCTTTAAATAAACTAAACCTCAGGTGGCCATGGTACAATAGGACGGTAAAGTATCCACATTTTAGAGAGCGAGAACAAAAGGTAAGCCCTGTTGAAACAGGCGCAAGTTATAACCTAGCGATTGTGGCTGGGTTCCGACCTTAACTACGTGCTGTCAAACTTGCAGTTTCTTGGTGAGGGGCATCACTTCCCAAAGCCTAGTGAGTCCTGGCTTCCTCCACCTCGTTCAAAAACTTGCTCTGACTCTCTGTTGCTATCTTTCTAAAGCTTATCGGTCCTGAAAAGCAAGTACAACCTCCCCTTTCCTTCTGGGGGTTGCAAATGTTTACATGCAGGTGAAGAAACCAGCAGTCCAATATTCATTACAGTTTTCAATTGCTGATGACGAGTCTGTTCTCAAAACCTGTTTGTACTGCGAAATAAAACCGTTTCTCTTGGAGGTATAATGTTGTTTACTCAGCAGCTGCTGATTACAGAAAAATATTTGTCTCCCCAAAACAAACAAGGCTACTGGCAGTGTTTAAGTGTTCAGTGCAAGTACTGATATCTGGGGCAGCAAAACAATTCTTCAGAGTTAAGTTGTGTATAATAAAATCAAATCTGCTTTTGAATAGCAGCTAAGTTTCCATGAACCAGTGTAAAAGCTTTTACTATGTCCTGATCACAATTTACTTTATTTTGGAAAGGCCAGTTCTAATGCAGTTAACTTTTCCTCCTCCTGCCTACTGGTAAATATCTTTAAAAAAAATAGTTTGTCTTCAAGTTTCTGCCACTAATTGTGATGAGCACAGCTAAGGTAGATTAATAAAGAGGAAGCTGTTTAACAACAGAATGATTCAGAAATGAGAGCTTGTTTAAGTAAGTTTTGCAGTCAACTATAAGACTTTTATTTTTGTAATGGTCATTTTTAAAAGGGTACACATCTGACAGAACTCACAACAGGCAAGACAGCAATATTAGTCTGTGTGAACTATGTCTTCCAGACTCTTGAGGAGTCCTCAAAGGTTAAATTGTACTCTTCTTTACCTGAGAAGGGGAATATGGTTTCAGGTTTTGTTTCCATTATATTAATTTAATTAACTGAAATGTAGTATTTTAGGAATGACACTCCTCTCATGGTCTGTGTGCTCTACTCTTTAATCTGATTTTTACAGGGATGAAGCGGAGTAATACATACTCAGAAACAGAATACCACATGACTCAGCTACACAGGAAACAGCATAACTAAGTAAGGATATTTCCATGTTTTAGCAGATCACCCCAGATGGCATAAACTACAGACATAATTCTAAAACATGCCATTGTCCTGCCCATACAAGCAAGAACTAACTTTTATAACAGAATCCCTCTGCATCACACTTTCTGCATTTCCAGTAGTCCGTGATCCTTGGGATCACAGTAAAAAGTGTAAATAGTATAAACATTAAAAAGTGATTAAGTTGATGCTGTAATAGCTCAATCTAGTAACCTAATGGTTGATGTTTGTGGTTCCAATAAAACTTTTTTTCCATTATTGAATTAACTTTATCACAAAAAGTTCTAATCCTATTCTGTCATTTTTGGTGACAGATTATGCCCAGCACATATGCAGCCTTGGACTGATGGAAGAATAGAGGAGATTCCCCACCAACACCCATGCCAATTCACACCTGAAATAACAAGCTCTGATTTCAAAGAGGAACTCAAGTGCCATGTGTTACCTAAACCCTGAAATGCGGGGCTTAAGTAGTGCAGAGGGTTTCTGTTATTCTAATAGTAAATTTTACCCACAACACACAATTTAGTCCTTAACACACAATTTAGTCCTTGATTAACACACAATTTAGTCTTTGATTAAATGGGCTAAAGAAGCAAGCATAGAGGAAAATGATAGTGAAACAGGCAGAATAGTAGAGAGAGACCCTATTATAGAGGGTATTACTACATGTGTGATGATGATATAGTTCCCTCTGCTAGTTGGAACCAGGCCATGTGTACTAAAAGCTTGGAGGCAAGCTATGCAGATGCTAGGGAGCTCAGGTTCTTTTTGGTGCATGGAAGAAAATATTGTCTTTGAACAGGTGCTTATTTTTTTACATTATAAAGGATACTTTTTAATACACACTTCTAACATCGCTCGGTTAGAACATTTATTATGTTTAAAACTGGTATGAGTATAAAATATACCTGCTAAAACTGGGGGAAAAACAGGTCACACTTAAAATATCTTTCTGGTAAAGTTGCAAATAGAATGTTTTGCATTAAGGCCATTATAAAGTGTATACATGTCTTTAAAGGATTTCAGCATAGTAACATATTCATGCGTCTCATCCAACAGCAAAGCACGTTACAACTGAGTAAGGATTTACCATGTTTCAGCAGATCTCTCCAGATGGTTAAAATTATGATAGATGAGGTGGTAACATCTACGTGATAAAATACATTTCTCATGTGTATGCTCTCCACATATGCTATACTGTCACAGCCTTCTAACCTTCCAAAGTACATTTATCTCAAACAGGAATTATTTTTAAACAACCTGCCAAAGTATTTCTCTCTCTCCAATCACTTATCAGTGATGGGTTTAAGTTATAATATTTAGCCCCGAGGGGTGCGGAGAAGTGGAAGTTTTATATTACTAGAGAGGGGAGTTTAGTGGCTTTCTAGTGAGACACAACACACTTGCTCCTTGCCATGAAGGTCTTGAGAAATTGGGAGTTTTGGGGTACTTTATGAAAAAGCTACAGCAACATTTTTAAAGTTTATACTAATATACTGGTTAAAGTTAATTGGACTCCTGGTATTAAGAGAATATGGTTTTGAAATAGTTGTATGATTTGGTCCATAAATTATTGAATAAATATATTGGATCCAGCAAATTACTGAGCACATGCTGAAGTGCTTTATTGGGCTTGGTTTAATACATGTGGCTGTGAGCTGGAGGTTTTATTGGACCAGTTTTAGGGTGATCTGCACATCTCATTAGTTGCCTTGCCAGTCACGATTTGCTGTAGTTATCCTGAACCCACACTGAAAGAACTCTGATAACATGCTATTAAGAACTGTCTTTGTTTTTTTGTTTTCTTCCCTTTGGGAATCAGGCACATCCTTAAAACACATCAGCACTGTAATGGATAAAGAAATTATAATGGTAAGAGATATAAGCAAAGACTAATTCCAAGGTCTAGAATTGTTCCCAGTAGTCCATTTTGAACAGTAATGGTATTTATCAGTATCTTTAACATGGTATTTCTCAGTCATTTCCACACCCAGGCCTCAGTCATGGATGTCAGCATATCTGACATCTTTTCTAATTTCTGCCACAGATATGAATGACATTACTGGACTGGGATGAGAATACTCATCTGTCTTTAAAGCTATTGTCAGGCAGGCCTGTCTTAGTCTGCTATTTGGTACCATGTAAACCAGTACAGCCTGATCCATGGTTTGGTTGTCAGTGACTAAACTGGTGCCCCCACCTGGGCTAGCCTGGGTGAGGAAGGTGTGTGGACACCCAGCTCCCTGCGAGCCAACGGCCATCCATACCTGGAGAGGAGATGGGCACCACCGGGTCATTTTGCTCGAAGAATCATCAATGCTGCAAAGCAACTCAGCTAACCTCATGCAGTGTGGAGGAGGGTAGTTACAGCATCGAAGGTGCCCCAATGGTCGCAGCGGCCTCGGGACTGACTTGACTTGTTAAAGCACTTGGGACAGCTCTGGTAAAAGTTGTTTTGCAACACCACACTATTAATAATATTATTAAATTCTATTTAATCATTTGACAGCACATCAGTCCACTTTTCTCTGATACGAATGTCCCTTATCATTAGCTTCCTTTATAAATATTTTATTGTGATAGCACAGTATGGTAAAAGGTATGAGGACTTGCACTCCCATTAGATCCACTGCTTATCTAAGTACAAATAGGCATTGCTAATACTGATGTCTGCTGCAAGTACACATCAAAACCCCTGATTTCAAGACCTTCATATCAAGGAGCAAGTATATTGTGTCCCACTAGAAAGCCAGTAAGCTCTCCTCTCTAGTAAGATAAAGTTGTGTCACAGATTACATGGATACAAAACAGTTAAATACACGTTTACGTCAAGATTATACAAGGAATCTAAGTGTGTGAAGCATTTCAGGTTTTTGTGACCATCAGTTGACTTGGACTCTGAACATCCTTAGAAGTAACGAGGCATGGCATTAAACGCATAGCGCTGCCAACAGGCTAGGTTCCCCGGTCCCTACAACGGGCTGAACACTTCCGGAGACAGCCTGTGGCCAACTGCACGGTCCAGGGGAAACTGGGCCAGCACAAAGCTGACAGATCCAGCTCCACCTCTCCCCTGACAACCGCAGCCACCCTGGGGGCTGGAGATGTGGCCCGGCGAGGCTCTGCCAGACCCTCCTCTGGAGGACAAGCTCCGGCTGCGCTCCGCCCCACCCCGCAGGCATAGGCGAACAGACAGGCACGGGGCCTGAAAATGGTCATTTGTTCCCCCCGTTGTCCGATTATTATGATCATCATCGGTGGCAAAGGGGGGCCGATACTAAGTTTGCCCGGGGCTGCCAGGAGTCCCGGCTCCCCGCTGCCAGCTCGGACTTACGGCGGGTCTCGGCTGCGCGCGGGGCGGAGCCTGTCCCAGCACGTGCTCGGGCCTGGTGGTCACGATGGTCAGGCCAAGACAGCTACATCCCCTCGGCCTC